GGGAAAAGCCAACAAGCCCAAGGCACGGTGTGTTAAGCAGAGAAGGTACCTGACAGCGGCCACTCTTTTCGGAAGCGTAATTCCTAACCACCCCCAAGCAGCTTGTCAGCGGGAAAGATGCTGAAGGAGATGGGATTAATCTCAAATTATAAACGCAGTATTGCCTGTATAATTCACAGATGCCGAACTGAACTCGGTAAATCTGTTTTAATTGCTTAAATAGTCGGAAGCAGAGTGTTTTCACAGGGTTAAACGGCCGGTTCCGGGGTTGCTGCGAATCACATTCGGCTCCTCAGTAATCGCCGGGGCAGGGAAAGCCCATAACAACAAAAAGAGCCCTGTCTGAGCATGCACGAGAGGGATTAAATAGTTATAGAAAATATTTCCTAAATGTTGGCTGTTGTCTATAATTATTTCAGTTTGTCTCTCGTACTTAATCAGTGCTCAATATCCAACAACTTCTAAGTGATTTCTGAATATCTTTCACTAATTTAATGGCTTGCTTGTGGCGTGGGCAGATAGTCAAGTGTAAATGTTAAATTATTTTATCTACAGTGATTTTCAGTTCTATAGTACTGGAATATGTTTATTTTATCCTGAGCATTCTTTCACCGACCTTATCAGCTATCTTTATTCCTACACAGCCCTTATCACAGTAGTATTTATTTATAATTCTTTCTTTGCAGGCTAATATCCTACACAGAAAGTGAGATTGAATAACATGCACATGCTGATTACTGGAGGAGAGGCTGAAGGACGTCCTGTTTTGCTTTCTTGGTGTTACTGTTCTTTGGGGTGAAATGAAGAATTTGATTCTGTTTTGGGAATACTTGAATTTCTAATGCAGCTGAACTTCAGCAGCCTTTTTTTGCAGTACAGATTTCTTCAAATGAATTTTTCTTAAGCAAAGATGCAGAACTTGTCAGCAGAAAGTCTTACCAATACAGACACATCACACCAGATGTCTCTGAAAGACCTAGCAGTTGAAGTAGGTGGTATGTCTCTCAATGAAAGTGACTGTGACTTGAATGAAAGGACAAATAAGGAAGAAACTATTAATCTTGAAGTAATGCAGCAAAGCCTTCCTGTGGTGAACAGCAAAGGGAGAAGTTTGGAGGGCTTTTCTGAGAGCACTTACAGCACCTCAGAGCCCAGCAGTTCCTGGGGGGAATTTGAAGGCTTTGAGGAGTCCTTAGACAAATCGGAGAGGTTCAGTCATAATCTCGAAGTTTTGGTGAAGTCAACAAAAACTTCTAGAGCTGATACAGACTTGAGCAGCGGACGTTGTAGCACTTCTGCAGGTCAGTTTTGTTCTGAGCCATCTCTGCACAGTGGGATACAGGAGTCTTCCAGCTCTTCAAATGAGGTATGCGTTAATAGTAAACCAAAGACCAGAAATGTTTGTGTTACCGCTTCCTACATCTCAAGATTTGTATCTGAATGTCTTCTCTATAGAGGATAATGCTGTGCAGGGAGAGAAACTGTCAAGCTGTTTTGCAGCTAACTCAAGTGGAACAAAAGCAACTTCTTTGCAGTGTGTGACAAATACTTAAGTTATCCTGCTGGAGAGCTTTAAAGAATGTTATGCATTATTTTACTTCAGACACTAACAATAAGTAAGCAGGTATAAACGATGAACCTTGCGCTGAAGCACACGCAATTTAAAAGCTGGACAAGAATGAGTATAGGAAAAAAAAATTGGGAGGGTGGGTAACAAAAACAGGGTGGACAAAAATTCTGTGTATTGGCTGTAAGCTGATTGAAATAAACCAATGTAACATTGAGTTAGAAATGGCAAACCCAGTAACTTTTGTAACTTAATAATGGATAATCCGGTGGCCTGGATAATCCGGTGGTCTTCCTGGAATTTTAGGCTGCTTGTGACTGGAAGTTAATGACACAAAAAATGACTTGAAATAATTTGACGTCATTAATTTTTTTAGCGTAGAATGTAACATTCTCTGTAAGTTTTTGTGCTTGTTACATCAGTACAAAAAAAGGATACCTTGTGGGAGTTAATGCCTTTCCACGTTTACCAAACATTCCTCACGAAAGGAAGCAAAGTAACAAAATGAAAAGAAGAATTTACAAATATAAGAAAAAAAGCCCTAATTTTCACTGCTTTTATCCCAAATTAAAACATTTGGAAAAAAGAGAGAGCAATCGACTATGACTTCTGCAGGTTTAATCAGCAGCAGTAGTAACTTACTGCTTGTAGTCTGCTAGACAAGTTTCAGGATGTGTATGGAACAGGATTTTCTGGAGACAGGCCTTCTTGCCCTTGCCTGGGAACCTTGCCTGTTGTAGAGGCATTACTAGGGAAAGCACAAAGATGTGGGTAGGACAAGCTGCCCGACAATGACAGAGGCGAGATCACAGATACCTGGTTATTGGTGTGCATAAACAGAGAGTTTAAATTGTTTGTAACACTGGCAACTGAGGTCAAGAAATCTTATGCTGAAAAAAGGGAATATGTAAAGACTGGAGCTGAAATAGGGTAGAGCAGATTGTTTGGTTTCTTTCCAAAAGCAGATCTTAATCTTGCTGAAGCCTTTGCATTATTTTTGCATTTATTAAAGAAATAAGGAAATGTCCAGTATGAGCTAAAAAAGTTAACCATGCCTAAAGTTTCAAGTTGTTTTTTTCTTGTCTCAGGGTACAGAAATGGCTGTGGAGCTGTTGGAGGTTTCTTCAGGTGTCGAATATATGTGTAGCTTGTCCTTCATCCCTGGGGTTTTGTGTTGTTTGTTTGAGATCATAAACTCTTCACGCTGGGGCTCTGTCTTCTCTATGGTTGATAGAAATAAGTCCAGGGGGTTGGAAGGGAACTCTACAGATATCTGAGGTCAGAGGTCTGACCTGCAATATCTAGTGCTTCAGTTAATTAAACAATGTCAGTTTGGAGCAGAATCATGTATTTTAAGATGAAGACAATTACTAATTTCCTTGCAGTACCTGGGTATTTTGCTTACATGATTGAATAACTTCAAAGATTATTCATTTTCTTTAAATACTGGCCTTTGTGAGAGCACTGCTTAAGCACTGTGAGAGCAGTGCTTAAGCACTGGAGCATTCTGAAATAATAGGATATAGAGGATTTAGTTAAAAAGCATGGATGTGAATTGTGCATTCATATTCTTGTGATTAGTACAAAGCTACAAGGTAAATGAAAATATACCAAAATTTTGCTTTAGAAACACTTATGAAGTTGGAAGCAATAAAGGTGGTAAAAAGTGTTGTGTTTTTCATCTGGCTTGGCTAAACTGTCAGCCAGTGACTTATATACAACATGTTGGAGTAACATCACGGAAAGATATTGCAAATAAAGCAGACCTGTGCTTCCCTTGATTCACACTTCTGTGGCTGTGATTTCCCCCTCAATCCAAGAGCAGTTGCCTGACTTTTCCTTAGCTCTCATCCCACTTAGGTTTTGGTACTTACTTGAGAGAATTTTTTTTTTTTTTGTGACTCCCCATGTATGCTTTAGCAAGTGTGCTTTTACAGAATTCTGCTTCTCGGACATCTTGCTCCTCCATATAGTATTACTGTAGTAAGTTAAGTCTACTGAAATAATTTACTAATATGGCACTTTGGGGAAGATTCAAATGATTTTATGGAGCTTTGACCATCCCTCCAGGACAGGCAGTTTAGCAATGCCTTACGTCAGGAGGGAGCAGTGTGAGGCACAAATGCTATTTCTAGAAGCATGCTCAGAAGCACAGAAGCCTTCTACCAGCTCTGTTGATTTTGCCTACTAATTGTTAGATTAAATCTGTACTCTCAGTACTCACTGCACTTGTCCGAGTTCAGTAGAATCAAACTGTGGAAATATCTCAGTTTGCTGCAGCTGTTTGAATTACAATTAAATGAAACTATCAAAATATAGAGTAGCCATACTTATGTGTTTCATATTAAATTGTTGATTGCTGGGCAAAGAGAGCAGACTGGCTGGTTTCATTCTCTAGTTTCCACACAGCATTGTTGCTCCTGGATTGCAATCCCTCTGCAGGGTGCGGAAATAAATTAATTGCTTTGATTTAGAGAATTGCAGTAATTCCTTCTTTGAAGGAAAGGACGAAGCTTCTAGACCAAGTGGCATGATAAGATCCCTTGAGGATAGAATGTAAATGATGCATATTATTCCTTGCATATGCATTTCTTGGTCTTCAAATAACCCTGTTACTTCCATTAGGCCTGTTTGAATCACTCATATTCTGTCCTCCAAACCTCCTCCTCACTGCTGGAGGAGAAACAAGTACATAAAGCTGGCTCTAATTTTTAACATAGGCTTGAAAAATTTTGGTGCAAATGCAAGCATATAGAGACATTCACAGCCCAGCTTTTATGCAGACTTATACAGTGTAGGCATTTACTGGTAACTACAGCATTTAGTAGTTACGGTACATTTGGCTGAATTAGGTGTGTTCATGAGCAAAACGAGCTTTCGAGTTCATTTGTAACATCAGTTTTGACGTGGAATGAACTATGAGGTTAATCCCTCTGTGCTGTTAATATTAACATGAAACTTCAAGACAATAATGCATCAAGAGGAGTTTGGCCAGCAGATCAAGAGAGGTGAGTTTCCCCCTTTACTCTGCATCCAGTTCTGGTGTCTCCACCATAAGAGGGACGTGGATCTGTTGGAGTGTGTTCAGAGGAGGCCACAGAGATGATCCAGGGGCTGGAGCACCTCTGCTATAAGGACAGGCAGCGTGAGCTGCGGCTTTCCAGCCTGGAGAAGACACCAGGGGGACTTAATAGCTGCCTTCCAATGCCTGAAAGGAACCTACAGGAAGGCTGGAGAGAGACTTTTTATAAAGATGTCCAGTGACAGCACAAGAGGAAATGGATTTAAATTGAAGGAGAAGAAGTTTAAATTGGATTTGAGGAAGAAATTCTTCAGTATGAGGGTTGCAAGACTGGAATAAATCACCCAGAGAGGCTGCGGCTGTCCTTTCCTGAAGATGTTCAAGGTGAGGTTGGATGAGGCCTTGAGCAACCTGGTCTAGTTAAGGGCCTCCTTGCCCATGGCAGGGAGGTTGGATTAGATGATCTCTAAGGTCCCTTCCAACCTAAGACATTCTATGATTCTGTGAATCTCTAGAAACCTTGTAGTCTTTGGACTATGTCCTTTGTGAACTGTGAGGATGGCCTGTATAACGTATGTAATAAAACTCTTTTTTTTCTAGGCAAATCACAGCTATGAGGATATATTTAAGTTGAGCTTTCCAGAAGTCTTTGTATCACAATCCAGAGAGAGCATAAGAAGCTTAGATCAAGTACTTGACACAAATAACGAAGATACTGGGATTCCTGAACTTACGAAGAATCAACTTTGGTAAAGAGTTTAGATCAATAGTTAAAAAAAATAAATTAAAAAGTTCATCAGCAATTACACTGTTTACTTCATGACTTAAAAATCAGGGGTACTTGCAAGTGGACTTGATCTTTTTAATAATTATACTCTGCAGCATTATAGATCTTGCCGATTTTGTATTGTGTTGTTAAAGGAAATGGATTGTGATTTAGCCCTTGGAGAACAGGGACAGGAATATATCAGAATTACAAATTCCTGCTTAGGGTTTTTTCTGATGTTGATGTGCCTTCTTATGACTAAGCCTCTGGAATGCCAGAACACCCAACAGGCAGCCTGTTCTTCCTGTTCACTTGTCCTTTCCTTGCAACACATACGGATTATTTCTCCATCATCTGAGGCAAGAGCGTTGCTGCTGCTTTTACTGACAACTCACTTGCCTTTTTTTTAAATTTTCTTTTCCTCCTCAGTTTTTCCAGGTGGTAACTTCTCAAGTTTAACCAGGTGTGCTTCAGAATCAGTGGTGCACCTGGCTTTTCCTGGCATTATGTGAATAGCAATTAGTATCATTAACTTAGTTTTCTTTCAAGACAGCTGGAACAGTTTTAGATTTGTTACATATTTTTGAAGGATCAGCAGCTTCTGAGCAGTATTGCAGTTACTGAACAGTATTGTAGTTATTTTTGTGTACATCTGAGGTTTTGTACCTAAAAAGCCGGACCAGACTGGCCATGATTTTACAAATGTCATAAAGAATCACGAGAAGCACAGTTAAAACATTTAATGTGGGCATCCTTTTGGCAAGTTCCTTGCATATGCACTGCATTTTAATTGGCCTCAAACTTGTGAAGAAATACAATATCTATGTAACAGGGACTCCAGTATTATAACATAGAGACAATTACAGACAAGAAAAGCCCCAATCTGTGGTGAATAACTGAGACTGATGATAATTGCACCCTGTATTAAGCAAAAAGCAACTGGATTTATATAAAGTGAATGCAATGTGAGAAACTAAAGTACAGTGTGGAGGGAACTCTTAAATCTCACTGCTTCAGCAGTGTGTGCCTTTGGCTTGTTTTGTAGTACATACGTGTCCAGAGCAGATGCAGGTCACCCACCTGAGCAGCAGGCCGCTGCAGCAGAGAAGGGTGGCTCATAGGAAGGAGAAAGGTTTGAGAGACAGAAAATGCAAAATGCAGAATTAATAGGGCTGAACTCCACCCACATTTCACAGAAGCAATTGAATAAAAGAATTTGTTGGCATAAAACCATCTCTGAAATATACTTCTAATGCACTTATCTGAAAAGACCAAACAGTTATGTTGACTTATTGTTTTTTAGTTGTCATGCAAGCTTATTAGTACATGGGTTGATAATTTTAATGAGTGTGGAAAGAGTTTTAAGATAAGTTGCTTTTTAGATCAAGGTAGGCTAGCACACGACTGTGAGCGGTGAAAATAATTAAGTTACATATGGTCACCGAAAACTTCGTACCAGTTATAACCTCAAATCGTGTTTTCTTTCCTAGCATTGATTCTGGAAACATATGGAGAACACTTAGAGACTTTGATAATGCCCCCAGCTTAAGACATCCCTGGAGTAAATCTCATTGCCAAGAAAACCTCTTGAGTGTTCTTGGAATAGATGCAAATCAAAAGGTAATTGAACAACAGTTTGCTGGTATGCCAGCATAAAGTCTCAGTTATGAATCTGAATTTATGTAAGCTATAGATGCAGATGCATGAGGAACTAGATCTGAGTTAGTCAACTTTTATTTTTACAGAGAGCCTTTAAAAACTGATTGTCCTGTATTTTCTCATCACTATGTGTAAGTAACTATGAAATTGCACAGGGCCAAATTTTTGTCATCTGTGCACTGAAATCTCCACTATGTAGCGCCTTGTTATTAGGTGGTATGTTCAGTGTTGGTGCAGCTGCAGGATTAGCTTTCAGATGTGTGTGTAGTAAAGATAGTTCTCTTTTTTGCTAAGGGCATGAGAAAATTTTTAGCTTTTAATTCCATTAAGTGGAAATCAGATTTGAATTAGAGAGTCTGTTAAAGTAATTACTGGATATTTTTACTGTATATGAACTGAAAATGGGTTCCACTTCCTTTTTCCTCAGATTATTTTATCTGGTATTGCAAGGCTTGAGGGAGAGTATGTTTTAAACTGAATTGAGACCAAACCAACAGTATTGAAAGATCTCCAAAAGAAATGTCTCTGCTAAACTCTTGTTTTGAGAAGATAATGCTAGCGGAGATGATTGGTTAGTTATGTAGTTGGCATGAATTAGTCACATGGTTTTCAGAAGTAACTCTTTCTGTATAATTTGATAGTGGCAGCAGGCTACTCTGTTCAATTATGGTTTTATGGACGTATTTAACCTTTCATGAAAGTTACATAAAACCAGAACGACAGTGCCGAAGGTATAGGGCCTGTCAGGCACTTGAAAGTCACTTTTACAGAACTGTCACGTAAAAGAATGGGAGACATTTCTCCGACATACTTAAACTTCCCTTCTGTTTCTTTCTTGTCCATAGATACGCTGGCATTAAATCTATGCCCAGGCAGCTTAAATTTATGTTGTTATGTCTTTTCTTTTACTGGTAAATCATATTGCTTTTAACAGTACTGGGGAAGATGTGTTTCTCAGCTATTTTCTGGTGTAGGTTAAGGCTAATTTTAATTTGAAATGGCTTTTTTTATTAATTCACAATTAGATTCATCTGTGTAAAACTTTTTTTGGCATAAAATTGGTTTAATGCAAAGGGGAGGGCACATGATAAATCAAAGTACAACTTCAGAAAGAAAAATTTAGTGGTCATTATTTGTGGGAAACTTTTCTTTGTGTTATATGCTTTGAGATCAAATAGAAATTCATAAAGAAAATGTAAACTATGTTTTATTAGGACTTTTCAGAGAGCCAGGATGACATTTTTGAGGAATCAGACTTTAAAGATGAGGACTTCAGATTTGATGGATTCAGTGTTAATGCCTGCAAATCCCTGATCCAGACCAAGGTAAGAACTGCTCTGGAAGGAAGCACTTCAGAGGAGTGCAGAGAGTCTTTTAGATGTTCCTCCGTGCTGTAGCAAGCTATTCTAGTGCATGTTCTACTGTAATTGTTTGGTCCTGCCTGATCTGGCAGGTAGATGTGGAGATATTTTTTGCTCTTTGAAACTTACCTGTCAGTTTTAGAAAAGCTAAAACGTAATGTACCAAGTGCAAAGTAACATAATATGGATAGATACTGAAATATAAGGTATTTCATTACATAAGATGGACTTTCGGCCAAATTACTTCTTGTTTGAGAGAGCTGCGATATATAAACTGTAGTTGGGATGCTCTGGTGACAAAGGAGGAGTAGCATGTCTATGGAAGTATCAACAGGTTGATTACTGAGAATGATGATTGTAACTCACTCCTAACATGTGGTAAAAGCGACATTAGAAGTAAAGCTGGCAGAGAAGAAATTGCATTCCAACGTGCATTTCAGTTATTCAGAATGATTTGGATTTGATTTGTTTGCTTGAGGAGAAAACAGGAGCTACCTAAGAAGGAAGGCAGAATTGCTGTTATAATTGCAAGGATTTGAGAACATTACTCTTTTTAAGCTGCAATACAAAACATACAGACACATGCAATTGAAATACTTTGTTGGTGCATTTATGTCTTTTGGTTGAGCAGACCTTGATAAGCTGTTTCTTTCTTGCTGAAGCAATGCAAGTTGGAAGGAAAATTCTGTCATTACGCATTGTTTAGAAAAAATCAGTCACATTCTGTTTTTAAGAAAGTATTTCGGATGAATATTCTTAACACAAGGTCTCTTCCTCAGTGGAGAATAAACTTGAGCAGCTGTTGTTGCTGTGAAGATGCCTAGTTTGAGGCACACTTATTTTCACTGCTCTGTTTTATCCTATTTATTGCTTTGGACAATGAAGATGCATATCCATTCTGGGAACATTGTGCATAAGAGGTGTTAGGCTGGAGAATTCAGAAAGAAAACCAAAAAAATGTCCATCTTATTCCTTCACAATTCACTTCTGCTTTCTTCAGCAAGTACATGACAGTTTGCTGATGACACAAAACTGGGAGGAG